AATTTAATACATCATATTATGTACCGAAAACATACCTTCTGGGAATGCAAGTGTGGTTTAACATTCAAAGTCAACCTATATAATTAATGACATTAACAGAAAAAGGGAAAATTATATAAGCATCTCAATAGATGAAAAAAAAATTTGATAAAATGCAACTCTCATTCATGATTTAAAAAAGAACACTCTTAGCAGACTGGGAATAGAAGGATATTTTCTTAATGTGATTAGTGGCCTCTACAAAAAAAATTCTACAGCAAAAATCATCTTAATGATGAACTGCTGAATGGTCCCTCCATGAAAGATCAGGAATGAAAGACAAGAATGTCTGTTAGCGCCACTTCTGTTCTACACTGTACTAGCAGTCATAACCAGGGCAATATGGCAGGAAAAGAAACAAAAAATGTAAACATAGGAAAGGTAGAAATAAAACTCATTTGCATTAATTTGTCTTTCTACCTGCAAATTAAGATTACAAGGTTGCTTGGTAGATGCAGTCAGTCACTGACTTAAACAGAGCCTAACCCTTATACAAGAGAAAGGTGTGACAGCCGGTTTCCATCAAGAGTTACAGCCTTGGAAACCCTGCAGGGCAGTTCTGCTCTGTCCTGTAGGGTTGCTGTGAGTTGGAATGGACTCAACGGCAGTGAGTTTTTTTTTTTTTTTTTTTTTTTAACTCTTGTATATAAATGGCTGTTTCATATAGCCAGGTATTTACAGAGACTTCTTAGAGAAAGAAGGAGGTTAGGAAAAGCCCCTTGACAAAACTGACCTTTTATTTGTTCCCCTAATCACCATATCACACCACCTGCTGGGATTATTTTAATTGTGCCTAAAAGCAAAGACCCTTCAGGTGCTGGAAGCAGTGCTGTTTGTGGAAGGGAATCTCGACCAAGAAGGCCCACTCCCTTAGTGAGGCAGCAGGTCAGAACCTGGGGTGGAGAGCGAGAAAGTGAGTGTTTGGTTTGAAAACAGAACGTTCAATTACTAGGAGTATAGATTCTAAGAGCTAACAAAGGTTACCTGTGGGGTAATTTTATGTAGTGTCAGTGCTTCCTTTTTTTTTTTTTTTTTCCGAATTTATGACATTTTCTAATGTCATCTTTCATCATTAGCCCATCGAGAGTGACGGCAATTCCAGTTGGTTCTGATAAGGAGATGTTATAGTAACAAGCTGAAACTTGAAGGTTTTGGACCTCAGAGTCTTCTATTTTGTTAAAATATTTGATAAACTAAAACATTTCTGTATTTCTGCTTTAGAGCAATGTAGTATATTTTGGGGAGTAGAAAAATGACTAAGAATGAAAAAGTTATTTTCTGTGTAAATAAAATTGTATTTTGATTACTTTTCTTTTTTTAATTTTTGAAAGCAAAAGTTTTAAAATTGATTGCTAATATTTTTTTTCATACTACACTCCTTTCTTCTTTTCTTTTTCCTGTCCACTGATACTTTAATTTGGGTTTTCAGTTACTCGAATCTGGTATTTAAATATTTAAAAAGACGAAAGGAATCTGAATATAATGTGATTAATTAATAATGTTCCTTCTAATTTTTTGTTGTTGTACGCAAGTGACCATGCTTTGGAACTAGATAGAGGCAGTGATTGCACTGAATTGTTCACTTTAAAATGGTTCATTTTATGTCCTGTGAATTTCACCTCAATGTTTTTCTAAAAAGCCTCTGAAGGAGTCTTGAGTATATTCATTCTGGTCATTTCAGAATTCTTTGTTTGACTGGTCTGGACACTGTGCTCTACAGGTAAAACTATAAAAGTTCGTTAGTGTTTTTATAATGGTATGTAAGCATGATAATAATGTCCAGATACTTGCTAAATATAAGTAGTTGACTTGTGTCTTACTGAAGCCTAAGATAGCAAAATAGACCTCTTTGTGGCATGGCAAGTGGTAAACTCTGGCCAAAGACAGAAAATCTACTCAGACCTTTCAAAAATAATAGAACAGCTTCTGCAAAGAGATGGAGGAGACTCCTGTCTACTTTCATTCCCTCCCAGAACTCCAGTAAAATAATGCTAAAGGGGTTTGTTTTAAGGTGTAAACCCACACGGGTGGGGAGAACAACAGGAAAGACAACAGCAGTATAAACTTGGGATGCTGGAAAGCAGATGGAGTAGTAAATAACAGAACAGAACCTAAACCAAGAGCCAACCTGATTTATACCCCAGAACTTCCACAGGTCTGGACAGTAGGCAGCCTCAGTACCTGTGGAAATGAGGGTGAAAGCAATGCTAAACTGGGAAGCCTGGTTGAAATCTGTTTACGAAGAAATCAGATACCCAGAATCCCTAAGGTATATCCCACAGTGGGGCGATTGCGCTTTCCCTGCCGTGGCGAATACTGGGGGTTTACGCTGAAAGGGTAGAATAGAGGCTTTCTGGACTCAAGAACACCATGAATGGTTGAGGGTGGAGGTCCCAAGTATGATAATGTGGACATAAACATGTTGAATGCTGAGATTCCCAGCCTTCTTATCGCACTCGGCTACCAGCAAGCTAAGCAGACCTTTGCTCTCCAAGCAGGAAATTAGAGGACCTTTCTTAGGGGAAATGGGCGAGGCCGGTTCCGAAGGAAAGAGCAGCTAAGGGGCCCAACTAGATAATCCTCAGGGAGGTCACTGTCAGCAAACTCCACGCACAGGCTGAGAGCTGCCAATCAGCCGTTTAGTCCTACCTCTGTAAATAACAGAGTTTCCATCTAACCGGCCTCTGCTGTGAAAGGTGGAGACTAAAACAAACATAAAAAGGTGATTTGGAGGAACAGAGACTGCAGGGAAAGGACAGCTTCAAGAAATCCTCACAGTACGTGAGAGTTCATTAGACCCTTATCTTTCCTTTTGTCAGTGTGTAAAATTTTCTATCATGATTTAAAAAACTTCTCTTAGAGATAAGATACTGCAACAATAAAACAAGAATAGCATACTGTAAAAAAATATGTTCAGAGAACTATAGAAACCTTAGAAATTAAAAATATGATAAAAGAAAATAAAAACTCAGTAAAAAGTTTAAAAGTTAAATAAGTATTCTCTTAGAAAGGAGGACAAAAAAGCAGAGATGGAAGAAAACTGTTTACAACCCTGAGTTCTATCCAAATTGTCAACCAAGTGTGAGGACAGGAAAAGAAAAAACTCGTAAACTTGCAAGATTTCAAGTACCTTTCTCAAGAAACTGCTAGAGGATATGCTCCACCAAAATGAGGAATAAACAGAGAAAGAGGAACCTCTCGTAGGAAACGTTATATTCATTTTAGGAGAGAAGTACAGAGATTCACGAGGATGATAGTGAAGAGATTTCCCACAATGAAAACTGTATCCAGAGTCCATGTGAAAGTTGTTAAGGCAGATGGAATTGAAAGAGCATCTGATTCGTGTGAGTGCTTTAGGAGAAGATCAGGGCCAAATCTGGCCTACTGCCTGGTGTGTTTGGAAGGAGTCTTTGTGGCATGGTGGTTAAGTGCTTGCCTGCTAACTGAAAGGTCGATGGTTCAAACCCACCAGCCGCCCTTCAGGAGAGAGATGTGGCAGTCTGCTTCTAAAGACTAACAGCCTTAGAAACCCTGTAGGGCAGTTCTGCTCTGCCCTTTAGGGTCACTGTGAGGTGGAATTGACTGGAGGGCGACGAGTGGGCCTGTTTTTGCAAATAAAGTTTTATTGGAACACAGCCATGCCCATTCATTTATGTATATATTGTCTGTGGCTGCTTTGACACTACAAGGCAGAACTGAGTAGTTGCAACAGAGACCACGTAGCCAGCAAAGCCTAAACTATTTACTGTGTGACCCTTAAAAAAATTTGCTGACGCCAGTGATTATGGACAGTTGATTATAGACAATTGGTGGCAGAGAGCTTGGAGTTGACATAGAAAAAACAATATAATCACTCAATCCAGGGAGAATAAAAATTGGGCCAGAAAGAAGTAGTCATGATTTACTCCATGGCATAGCTGTGAATATATTGACATGATTATAATAATGTAAATGCTAAATTTTGAGCTAACTGAAATTGCAGCCTCATTGGGAAGATGGGAAGGATGTGCGTGTAGTAGGAGTAGGAAGAAGAAGGAGGTTACGGTAGGGTTTGCAAATAACACGCCCGTGTAAGTGATGCGCACACACACACGTAATGTTCATAGCACGCTTAGGAAAAGGGGTTGCACGGTTGGCAAAAAATATATAACGTGCATATTATTTGCATAAAAATACAGTGATCCTCATCTTCCATAGTGGGAAGTCAGTAAATAAGGAACGTGGTGATAAAAACCAAGAGAGGAGAAAAATTAATTCCTCTGGAGACAGATAAATGGAGGGGAGGGAACAGGAACAGTTGTTTTTCATACAGACAGAGCTCTCATAGCACCTTTATACCTTTTGATAAAGAAAAATATTAACGAAAACTCCCCACAAAATTGGGAAGCAAAAAAGAAAAGAAACTCTTTTTCAAGGTCAGCACATACACAGTTCTCACCTTGTCCATCGCTGATAAAGTTAGTGAGAGGCACCAGGCTGGGCAGATTCCATCTGATGCACAGACATGCCCACTGAAAGAACATTGCTGAGACACAGTGCCTTTATTGGACCTAGCAGTTGACGACACTAAATGTGCCCTGAAGTAGGTGCCTTTTAAAACTTTATCTGTTCTAAATACTGTTCCTATTTAAGCCTACCAACAAGGGAAGATGTAGTTGTTTCTCAGTAATTATTCTTAGATACAGGATAATTCAGTGTGTTATGACCGTCTAGCACTGGACCTAACACTTATAGGTTCTAGTAAGTATTTGAATGAATGAACGGACTCCGTTGTGTAACCAACAACAATTAAAAAGGAAGAAACATGAGGACATGAAGAGACCAACCAGTGCACAAGCAAAGGTGACTCCACAGCGCCCTCGCTTCAGGCTCTCAGTTACCAAGAAAGCTGAATGGTGCTGCCTAGTGATTCTGACTTCTGACGTCAAGTCATTCTGCTCTTTTTTTCTAACTCTTAATAGGATCTTTCCAATTAAAGATGTACCCCTGGAGACTGAGGATGACCTTACTGATTGGCTGTATCAACGGTTTATTGAAAAAGAGGACCTTTTATCACATTTTTATAAAACAGGTACACAATATCGTATTAGAGATATATATAGATGTATATTCCTGAAGTTGCTAATAGTTCCCAAGATGTACTTCAGGAGAAATGTTCATGTTTTGATTCTTCAGAAACTCTAAAGGAATCAAAATATTTCTATTTAAGAATTTCAGCTTAGAATTTTTGTAAAGACAAATTTATGTTAAAGCTCTTCATCAGCCAGTGGACAAGGATCCAGTGATGGGTATAATGGTCATGCAAACAGATCTAATTCAAGAGAATGTACAAGAACAGAGTCTGTGGTAGAGTACAATTATACAGTTATATGTGGTGGTTTATGAAATGTCAGATAACATTCATATTTTGGCATTGCACTTAATATTTAACATTTATTATAGTCATTTCAGATAATTTTTAACTGCATTTTTACGTGCTTATTTTTTCTTTACACATAGGGGTAAAATTCACTTTTTAAGTCTTCAGGATGCAACTTTATACTTTCTTCTTGGGAGAAAAAAAGTCTGTTTACCCTAAAAAAAAAACCCCGTTGCCATGGAGCCTATTCTGACTCCTAGCGACCCTGTAGGACAGAGTGGAATGGCCCCATAGGGTTTCCAAGGAGCAGCTGGTGGATTTGAACTGTTAACCTTTTGGTTAGCAGCCGAGCTCTTAACCACTGCGCCACCAAAAACCAAACCCATTGCCGTTGAGTCTGTTGTGACTCACTGGGCCACCAGGGCTCCCTGTTTACCCTAAGATTCCTTCTATTCTTAAAATTCTTTATGATCTATGAAAATTACGATGCAGTGAAGAAGACGTAACAAGGGAGGAAGAGAGAGGGAGGAAGAAAGGAAGTTAGGAAAGAAGAAAATGAACATTGGCAGAATGCCAGCCACTACAGTAGAAAATACTTTCAGATTTGCTATGTTGTAGGCCTACTTCCTAGAGGCTACAATAGAACAAAAAAAGTCGAACAGAAAGTTGTTCCAGGTCTGAGGGTGGCCGTGGGGTTTTAGATGAACAGAAAGCCCTGTTTTCTCGCCACCTAGACCTTTTTGGTACAAAATTAAACTTGATGCTGAATCAGACTGTTGAAGGCGTAATGTTGCGCAAAGGCTGGTATGTTAATTACAGTTTTTTAAATTGTTATTTTTTTGGTGAAAATACACACAACAAAACATATATCAATTTAATAGTTTCTGCATGTACAGCTCAATGACTTTGATGACATTTTTCAATATGTGCAGCTATTCTCACCATCTTTTCTGTATTATTTCACCACCATTAATGTTAATTATACTTACATTACATTAATTACATTTAATGGTTTTGTTTTACATTGGGGATTTGTTTCACTTTGCCCTCAACAGGATTCCTCCCTTCCTGACCTTAACTTGACTGAGGCAGTGGACTAGTGTATATCCCTATGACAGGAGTTGGACACTGTGTTTGTCATTAGGATCCATAGTAAGACTAATTGAATAAGATGGCCTCTGAGCATTTCCTCTTCACAGGGAGGACAGGATGAATGTGTAAACTAAGAAGGCAGAGGCAATAAGAGGTCAACAGGATATCTCTTCCTTTCCAGTCTCAATCTCTTGCTTTATGATACTCAGCTTTAATTGTAGCAACAATAATGGAAGCCTCTTTTTAAGAACACTATTTGCATAATAAGGAGCCTTGGTGGTGCAGTGGCTAAGTGCTCAGCTACTAACCGAAAGGTCGGCAGTTGGAACCCACCAGCCGCTCTGAGGGACTGTTAAGAATACAGCCTGGGAAACCCTATGGGACAGTTCTACTCTGTCCTATGGGATCACTAAATGTTGGAATCAGTTTGAAGGCAATGGGTTTATTTGCATAATAGATCTTGAAACTTGAAAGTGCTTTCTGCAAATTATTCCTGAGAAGCAAATCCCTTCATGAATCAGCTTACCCTGGGGGATTATCAGCAAGTACAACAGCTATTTGAAATGATGAAGAGTGTTATCAAGATGACCTTCAGTAATGTTGCTTTGAAGTGGTCTAGCTTTCCAGAAAAGAATTTAAAGACATCTGTTTACTTTGTGTTTCTCCTTTGTGTTATTAAATTATATTTCATAAAACATACTGCCTTTTGGAAATGTCAGTGATTTACAACCACTTTTTTTGTAGCAGTAACATTTAATTTGTAAATAGAGGAACTGATATAAATTATACTATTTTGGAAATTGTTTTAAGTAATATGTGTTTAACTCATTCAGTGTCTGGCCACTGTTTAGGTCTCTAGGGATGCAGTGGGAGACGGGGCAGCCAGAGTCCCTGCTCTCCTGCAGCTTCTATTCCAGGGGGAGAGGCAGACAGGAAACTGTAGAAAGAAGGAAATGAAGGATCATTGCACTTCATGGAAAATGCCATGAAGGAGGTCAACGTAGAGTGGAGAGTGACTGGGGCGGGTGGAGCCTGTTTTTTCTGATGTTGGAAGGAAGCAGATGAACCTGCCAGTTACTGAGAGGGAGGAGGAGCGTACAGGACAGAGAGAGTCAAGGCAAAGGCTCAGAGGCAGGGAAGGGCAGTTTGAAGATTATATTTCAAATAAGACCTCTCTTCAAGGGCAATGGGAGTCATGGAAGATGCTTTTGTTTTAAACCCTAGTTAAACTAATATTCAACTTTTATTCCAGGAGGCCGACCTCCACAGCACAATGGATTAATATTTCTGTCTTGTCTTTTAGGAGCTTTTCCACCTCCCAAGGACCATACGGAAGCTGTTTCCAGGGAGATGACCCTCAGCAATTTGAGGCTGTTTCTCTTACACTCCTTTACGTTTTTGTCAGGCTATATGTGGTACAACATCATTCAGTATTTTTACCATTGCCTGTTTTAGGAATTGACTCAGCAAAGTCACCATAGGAGTTCAGACTTTCATAAATGTACATTATTTTTCATGTGCAAATCAGATTATAAAAAAAAAAAAAAAAAGCAAAGAAAATTCAATGGATGGATTAATCCTTATCCCCCTTTGGGATATTTTAAAACTCTACTAAAATGAAGATCAGTAATATAATGACCTGCTAATATATTTTAAGAACTTTTCACGTTTTAAAAAGATGCACTCTACCATACGTGTAAGCAAACATCGTATTTGGAGAAAAGGAGACCATTATTAAATCATCCTAGAAGACTGAGAGAAATTCTGTTGCCACCAGATATACTTGATAATTTCGTTCAAGCTCAGAAAGTCGTATTCGTTGCTCTTAGCTGGTAGTCTGTACATCACCAGTGCTCTGGAGAACACTCGTTTCTACCAGCTCTCGTGCTGTGTTGTAGGGACCTCGAGGGGAGCCGCTGGGCACCTTCTGGAGAACTGTTTCCCTGTCATTTGTGGTAACAAACTCTAATCCTCAACAGCTAGGTGGGGTACAGTTTTAGGCATTTTCTGTCAGGGGTCGCGGGGCAGGAGCAATGTCCATTGAGCATGTTCCGGTACTAATGTGTTCTTTGAAAGTCCCGCCCAGGCTAGCTCAGTCCACCACCATGTCTCCATGCGCTAGTGCTTCCCTGTAAGAGGGGCTCACTTTGGTCTGCCTTCTCATAGGCTGGTAATTGTCTTTTACAAAACGCACTTTGATAAGATGCAGATATAGTGAAGGATTAGTAATAGAGTCTAAAAAAAACAAAGCGTAGTCAGGATTCTTGAGAGGCTGACTTGTCTCTTCACATTTACTTGCGTGCTGGTGCTCTCCGACCCACCCTGCACTGGGCACCTCCCCTGTGATGTGATAGTTGTATTTATAGCACAGAGCCTTTTTTTTTCCATTTTAACATACTAGCACGAAATGCATTTGGGGATGGTTGAAACAAATTAATGCAGAACATCTAAATGATCAGTTTGAGAAGAAATGGGCTAGTTTATTAGGAAAAAAAAAAAAAAAACAGAGCCAGGCAGTTGATTTAAAATGGTTACAGGTTCTTCTGTGGCACCCCAGAACCTGTGCAGACAGTGCTCTGTTCCAGCATCGGGTCAAGGAGCTGCCAGTCTCAGGGTACACGCAGTCAGGAGATGGGCCAGCACAAAAGGCTTCTCAGTCTCTTCTAGTTACTTTTGAAGAGGATAAAGTCAAGTTTCGATTTCTAGAAAATAAGAGTTTTCTGTATTTGTCACTGTGTTGATGTGATTTACCTCATGGGCGAACCAAACTCTTCTCAAACAGCAGTGCACTTCATCCGTGCGTAACCTGTGCTCCCAGGGCTGAGACGCGTGTGCTTCTCGGTCTGGGACTGTACGACTGTTAAGACCCTAGTAAGCCAATGATAGTTTCCTGTAATATGCACACTGTAGATTCCCCTGTTGTCTCTAATCACACAAATAACAACTTGGAGAAGTAAGCTATAAAATAAAAATAAAGGCTAATATTTTCCATCTTTAAATAAACCAAAAAAACTGAGAAGATGTGACTTTTCCCTAGTTACGTGGGAAAGGTAAAGCAACACCAAATAAAAGCCCACAGCAGCCTCCCCTGTTGAGCTAACTCAGTGCACACAGGAAAGAGAAGGAAGCATCCCTTGAAATACCTCACTGAACAGGACGCTACTACTGGGAAGCTGCAGATGCCAGTGTTAATGTGCTTGGTTTGGTCCTGTTTGTTGTAAGATGCCATTTTTTTTGAAATCTGAGCATTTCATTGCGTGCCCACCTAGAGTGGCAGTTGTATAAGAGACACCAGTCTTAATTCAGAGATGTGGATGATGATGATGGGAAGCCAGACAGAAACTTAGAGATGCTTCTGTTTGAGCCCAGCAAACACTAAATCACACCACTAAATTAAAAGGTAAATTTGAAATCGTTCATTTGAGAGATTAGTCAGCTATCGGGGGATGAGTTGCTCCCTGTCAAGTATGGCTTGCACAGTCCTGGCTAACAGACCTTTTCTTCATTGCTAAAGCAAGCCACAAGGTGGAGTGGCCAGTCCTGCTGTCAGACATACAAACGTGCCTATGTAAATGTGGGTTAGGGCCCCTTCTGCCATCACCGTGCTCCAGAGGCACTTGCTAAATACACTGTATACGTTAAGCACGTGACCCTGTAAGATGCTTTGCTTTTCAGGCCCAGTATCATTTCAGCTGTCTCTAGACAGATACCAACAGATGGGAGTTAAAAAACAGACCTGTGAGCTGTAAATAGATGTGTGTTTGATCAGCCCTCTCCCTCTTTTGATTCTTTTATCAACATGTTCTTTCTCTCCTACTTGCAAAATGTTTCCTTGAGACCATTGATGGTGGTTTCCTTGTCAGTATCTAGAGTTCTCCTGCTCACACTAGGGAGAGAGAATAGTGTTCTTCACGGGGCTGTCTGAGGAAGCAGTAGCGTGCACAGAAGTGAGTACAACTCCCAGTGCGTGCTTTCTTTGTTAAGGGAGATGAAAGGAGACCTAAAGGAAGATAGACGTTTTATCAAGGGGGAAGAAAAGAAACCTGTCAGTTTTACACTAGTAGCTTGTAGAATCTCAGCACTTCTCAGTCTCAGCTGGTCTGCCCAGCTTCTCTCAGCAGAAGGGTTGAGAACTTGTGGCTGGAGTCCTAGTATCAAGAGGTACCTGTAATGGGAACATCTGCTTGGCCATGGCAGGTCCAGTGACTACAAAAGTGACAACCCAGCAGTTCACTGTTTACTTCAGAAACAGTTATTGGTGTTAAAATATACACACATTGTGGAGAAACCTATTACCAATGAAAGTAAAGAGAAACGATAGAATGAGAAATAATGTTTTGGGTGGGCAAATTAGTGGAGAATCTAAATAGCAGATTTGAAAAAAGATAGCTGTGAGTTCAAATCTGTCCTATTATTAAAGTAGTTTTCAGTATTACAACCAACCATTAATTTTCCACAGTAAAGGTACTAGGATTAAAGGAATTAATCCAGTAATCATAAGTAAGCCAAAAATATAATTTTATTTAGGAGTTTGAATTTCTATTCTCATCAGACTTTTCTTCTAGGGATGCTTACTTGTTAAAAAAATGATTTGAATTGTATATTAATTTCTCTTGCCTATGTATTTGTGACTGTGTCAATGAGTAGAGAAATTATATGGAAAGAAAGACATACAGGTATGAGGAAGAGGAGACAAAAAGCCTGAATAATCCACAGGCTAGAAAATGGGTCCTTGAGTAATCAAGAGTTGACGGTATTGAAATTGTTCTCAAGCCGTTTTAGGGAAATGAAATCTTAAATCACCAAATGGAAACCTCAGAACATCGTCCAGGTTAATGTGGTTTGTGCTGATGTTAAGAATGCCTGTTGGTTCTTTGCTCACATCACCAACTACGTGTGGATTTGTCTTGGTAACTGTTTTGACAATCACTTTCCTAACCAGTTCTTCTGAACCAGTTGGACATGGTTAGAATCGTAGAAAGTCATCTTCAATCATGAGTAGTCTTATTGGAATCAGAAATCTTTTTCTATTTAAGAAAATGTTTTATTTGCACTGCGGAATAGGAAGAGTTGGTTGTTCTCTTCTTCTTCTTTTTTTTTTTTGAAAGTCATTACACAGGACTTCACTCCAGAGTTATCCTGGGAGTGTGTTCAGCTCTGGCCCACAAAGGATGGATAAAAATGCTTTGTCTTGTTATTGTTTTGCCATGCAGTGCCGTCAACCTGAGGTCTGTTCACATGGAAAGCAAAGTCACAAACAGCACCGGGCAGCAGGTATACTGGTTCAGTTTATGAGGGGTAGAGATGAAAGTTTTTGGGACCAAAACCACCTACACTGGAAATTTCTAGATCACAAGGGGCCGAGTGTTCTCTGGAGCAGTCAGTCACTGGTTGGTGCTTTGTTCTACTCATTGTGCGCCGATCCCCAACAATTAGGAACTGAATCCTGGGAACAAGCTGAGGGTGCTGAAGTGTTGCGGGAGGGTGACTGTAGCCATATGGAAGATAAAATATGGGTTTCTCTGCAGAATTTCCACTTGAGGATTTTTACATTTACCATTTTTTTAAAAACGGTTTAAAGGTCAAAAGTTTTTTAAAGTATATTCTAATTGCAAAGTATGACACCTTACTTTTAAGGTGTGAACTGTTGAACACATGACTGTAGTGCACAGTCTTTACATGGAAGAAGTCTTCATTTTATAGTAACTTATTTTATTGTTGGGTAATGAAACAGTTACACATTGAACTGCCATTGTTTGTATCAGTGCTTTCATCTTCTTTGCAGTTATACAAGTTGTATTTATTTTATACAGTGGATCTTGGTTTTCCTGATGCCTTATGTTTACTTCGGCTTGGTGCCCTCTCCTTCCTTGTGTATCTGCATGTCCTAACGTATGATCAGAATGAATGTAAAGGCTGTGGCAACTGTAATGAATTTTTGTAAAGGGCTGGTCACACATGGATCTGGTTGATGAATGCATTTGCAGTTGTTTTAGTAACCAGGTCACCGTTGTCAGAAATTGAGATGTACACACCAAAAGAAGCATTTTCTCAACAAAAATTAATAGCTGGTTCTATTTTTTTTTAACCCTGAAAAAATAAAGTTGATTTTTTTTTTTTTTTCAAGTAAAGTGCTTTTAATTCTGAGCAGTGGGGATGGGCTGTTTGTGTTTTACTGGAGGTGTTTTGTCATTAACGTCTGTAGACACGTCCTTAGAACACAGCATGGCAGTTGGATGTTGAGGATAAACTGGAAAACCGATGGAAAAATGTCACCTTGCTTCTTTGGTCTGAAGGTATTGCTGCCTCTCCCAGTTCCCTGCCCAGTGGTGTGTGGGTAGACGTTTAGCAGTCCGCTCTCTGGAAAAGACGTATACTGTGTACATAAGTGTATTATAAATGTGGCTGATAGCAAGGATGTAGAACACAATCCATAAGTAACAAAATAGGCAGTGCTTATTGTAAATTCCAGTCAGTCGATTCTCGCAGATGCTTTACTGGTTTTTGCTGAACTTGTGTAGCATAGGAAACCTACCGTTGCAATTCCACCAGGATTTAGAAGATGGAGTTGAATCCCAATCCATAACTTATTTCCCAGTAAGCTTATTGTCAAAGTATTTCTTACCTTGTACAAATTATTCTCATTAAATGAAACCACTTTTATATTCAGCAGTAATTTTCAGTTTACGTAATTCAATTGTTACCAACAGCTGTGTTTAACAACCGGCTTGCAAAATTCTAAAGTTTACAATTGGCTCTTGGGAGCCCGTAGTAGCTGTCTGCTGCACACCACTGACCCCTTCCTTTTTTTTTTTTTTTTTCCCCAACTGTTAGTGTTGAATAGAAGGTTCCTATGTGATGCGAATGGTTTGCACTCAACTGTTAACTTCAGGGTTGGCAGTCCAGACCCATCCAGCAGTGCCACGGAAGGAAAAGACTGGGTGATTGGCTTCTGTTAAGATTTACAGCCAAGAGAACCCTATGGAGAAGTTCCCTGTAACACATGGGATTGCCGTGAGTCAGAATCGACTCAATGGCAACTAACCAGTGTTAAGTAAACTTCTCACAGTTGAACCGACTCGCTGCCCCCAGGAAGATTCCTATCGCTGACCCTGACAAAGGCTTTAAAGGGTGGGGAAGGAATTCACCTTGGTCCTACAGAGTGTGCTTCTGTTTTGAAGAATCTGACTAAAGCAAACTTCTTACAGTGCATGGCAAACTTGCGTATTTCTAAAGTTGGTTTTAGGCTTTCATTTCTCAAAGCTACGTAAACTGTGACATAGACGTCTCTAAGGTTGTATTGTTGTTTTGAACATTTAAAACATCTTTGTTTATGTATTTGTAGAATATGTTTGATCCCATGAAAACTTTTATGTGTATTAAACATCTTACACAATCTACCAAATAAGTTAAATAGTTGCAGTCCAGTCTACCTCTTCTTTTTCTGTCGGGATTCAGGCTGCTGTTTTGATGAGGTTGTAATTTTGTTTCCTTTAGAAGAAGGGAGACAGAGCTCACACAGGGACGGAGAGGCCTGAAAACAAATGGTAGCTCAGAGATCTGCTGCTGACCAGCCCTGTCCTCACTGGGTTGTGGGGAGGGGGAAGCCGTTGTTTTTAATTCCCACTTAATATGAAAATGTTTGTTTTTAAAATGTTTATTCCTGCTGAAAAGAAAATGTATTTTTTAAAAGGAAAAAAGTTCCTCTTTTGGCTATAAGAAAAAGTCAGCTGTAATGGCAGGTGTGACCATATCATGGACATGCTGATTGATAGAAATCAATAAATTTTTACCTCTCAGGAAGTGGATAGCCTTGTTCTTAACTCTTACAGAGGACTGAGACACATAAACTTAAGTATCAATCCAGGTGACATATAAACACACATACACATGGAACCTGGGAGGAGGGCTGGCTAGCTGCTGGAAATGGGGCGTGCTCTTGGGGGCTCCTTTCATATTCAGAAAAAATACTCTTAATTAGGTATATGATTAAACCCATTTTACCAAGGAAGGAATTGGAACCATGTTTTTTTGCTAGTAAGCATGAAGCATAACACAAAATTCATTCCCACATTTTCCACTGGAAAGACTGTTGCCTTTGCTTGGATACTTTCTGCCTTTTGGGTGTGAGGCTCGCTCTGGAAATGGTGTGTAAAGCTCTCCCAGTTCCCTCATCTCTCGCAAGCAGGAACTCAGCCATCCTAGTGATGATATCAGCTGTCTCATTGATGTCATCGAGAAAGGCTGGGATCCCACCCCTAAAAACTCCCTGAGAAGGCCCTCATCTTCAGCTTTTTACCAGGTGACCCTGTATCTGGACCTGCAGAGTTACAGCTGAGAGAGAGGAAAATAGGTACCTAGAAGTGGAGCGATCAGATGATGGTGGAGTGCTAGGAAGGGGAACCCAGGAATGTTGGAAGACAGATTAGAAGGGACAGCCTGAGGCTGCAGTCTGCGGACAGGTACACAGACCCCTGGATGGGTGAAGATTTTTGAAGGAGTGTTCAAACACATGCTTGCCTTCCATTTGAACTCTGCCCTAAGACTGCCATCCCCGAGGACCCACCTGTAGGAACCCCGCCTCCCATTTCAAATAACAGCCTACTTCACAGAAGAAAAGCATACCTCTTAGCCGTTAGGTGTCTCCCCGCAGATGCCAAACAAAGGGCAGATTCAAAATATCAGTGACACAGCTGCTTTTTAATGAAGGCATCTATAGCCCACAATTGGGCTTTTTCTCTTTCCCTGATGTGTACACATTTCAGAATGGCATCAGGAACAGGGCATTTGGGCCTGTATTGGATGTGCTGATTTCTGATATATTTAGTGTGGGATAATGAGAGCAGTGGCAACAGGGCTCCCAAAAGCACAAAAGTAGAAGCTACCGAGACGTCTTACGGCTTAGGCCCAGAACTGTGAACTGCGGCCGCATTCTGCTGGTTCAAGCAAGTCCCAGGGCCAGTCTAATTCAGTGTGGGAGAAACTACAAGGTGTGAACGCTGGAAGGCATGGATCACTAGGGGCCATCTGGGAGAACTAGCTACCACAGTAAAAAAAAGTCCCTCAGCTGTTGGAATAAAGAACACTAGAGGGTCAGGAAGAGTTGTCACACGTTGGTAAGTTTGCCCATAATTTCCATAAGGTGAAAATTTTTTTAGTTTCCAAATACTTAGAGAGGATTAGGTCTGTTGAGCCATCACTCATTTATATAAGCCACATTAGTCCAGGGGACACCTAGCTGAAAGAATAGGGTTTTTGTTTGGGAGTAGTCTGTGTATTATTGTTGGCACTGATTGATGTGTAACTCACTGACCCTTCGAATTTCAGAGCTGGTATGAACTTTAGAAATCACCTTGTTTTGGGATGACAGATTTTTGTTTTTAATTGTGCTTTAAGTGAAAGTTTACAGTTCAAGCCAGTTTCTAATACAAAAATTTATACACACATTGTTATGTGACCCTAGTTGCTCTCCCTATAATGTGACAGCACACTCCTCTTTTCCACCCTGGATTTCCCGTGTCCATTCAACCAGCTCCTGTCCCTTTTTGCCTTCTCATCTCACCTCCAGACAGGAGCTGCCCATTTAGTCTCATGTATCTACCTGAGCTAAGAAGCACTCTTCTCATGAGTATCATTTTATGTCCCATAGTCCAGTCTAATCTATGTCTGAAGCGTTAGCTTCGGAAATGGTTTCAGTTCTGGGCTAATTGAGAGTCCAGGAGCCGTGTCTGCTCGGTCCCTCCAATCTCAGTCAGACCATTAAGTCTGGTCTTTTACTAAACTTTGAGTTCTGCACCTCACTTTTCTCCTGCTGTGTCAGGGACTTCTTGTTGTGTTCCCTGTCAGGGCGGTCATTGGTGGTAGCCAGGCACCATCTAGTTCTTCTGGTCTCAGGCTGATGGAGTCTCTGGTTTATGTGGCCCTTTCTGCCTCTCGGGCTAATATTTGGGATGACACATTTTATCCTGGTACAATATTGATGCGTTGCTTGTGGCATCTAATGTCAAATGGCTACTCAGAATTAAGAGGACTAAGTGGAATCAAGTCTCTTGATTCTCATTCAAATGCTTTCCCTAAAGCAATAGATTGCCTCGGTTTGAGTTCCTGTTTTTAGCAAACAAGAATTAAATCTCAAAGACACTTGCTAAAGGCATGCTGGATCTAAAAGCATCTATAGTTTCCTTTTCCCAGATTTTAAAGTAAACACAATAGTCCCCAAAACCCTAGAAGATAATTTTTTATACATGTTCCCTCAGTTGTTCCAGAAATACAATTAGCCAGATAAAAAGTCTGAAGTCCATGATTTTTGTCCTTTTTGGATATGGAAGTGAAATGTATTTTTTTATTTTTGCCGTATAAAGTAGAAGATAAAGAGAATGCCTTCATTTCTGACGAAGGGGATAGAAATTTCAATCTCATAATAGTCCTTTCATTTCTGAATTCCAGGTATGAAACTGGCAATGGGTAATGAATTCTACACCACGGTTGCCTCTTGTGCCCAAATGGCCCTCTGCCATGGCGGCCGTCAGATCCAAAGCCGTTGTCCAAGTGGAAGCTCCTAGAAGGGCAGCAGCACCGAGGACCCCGTGGGCTTGAGTCCCCATTCTTTCCTTAGGCAAGTTTCTTCCCTCTCACCCGCACTCTCCTCAGCTGTAAAGTGGGAAACTCTCAGAGCCCTTCTCATGCCAAATGGGATCATGTATGTGAAGCACGCAGGACAGTAACACGTGGTCCTGACTGCTTAGTAAGGGAGGCTGTTTTCATCTCCCCTCCCTCACCTAGCTGTGCGCAAGGTCTGGATGACCTGTTCTAGGTGTGAAAATTGAATCACTACAGGCTGTAATGCCCACTGTCCTCTTTTCCAGATCCTAGGTTTTTCGGGTCTCCCGAGGTAGACTGGAATGCAACCCCCATAGCCAAGTTCCTAGCCCCACCTCAGACTACATGTAATAGAGAAGGTTATCAAAGGCTCCAGACAGCAGCAAGAGAAAGCTTTAAGGTCAGAGAACCAATTGGAAGGGTGAGGAGACTGGAGGATAACGAGGAAATAGGGTCTGCGAGACAAGGCGCTAGGTAACCTTCCTAGAGGCCTGCTTTGCTTCAGAGACGTGATGTCACTTGTG